TTTTTTTTTTTTGGCTGCACTGGGTCTTCGTTGCTGTGTGCAGGCTTTTCTCTAGCTGCAGCGGGCTACTCTTCGGTGCGCGGGCTTCTCATCACGGTAGCTTCTCTTGTTGCAGAGCATGGGCTCTAGGCGCGCGGGCTTCCGTAGTTGTAGCACACGGGCTCAGTAGTTGTGGCTCGCGGGCTCTAGAGTGCAGGCTCAGTAGTTGTGGCGCACGGGCTTAATTGCTCCGCGGCATGTGGGATCCTCCCGGACCAGGGCTCGAACCTGTGTCCCTTGCATTGGCAGGCGGATTCTTAACCACTGCGCCACCAGGGAAGCCCAAGATTCAGTATACTTTACACTTACAGCATATCTCAATTCAGTCACACTTCAAGTGCTCAATTGCCACATGTGGTTAGTGACTACAATGTCTGACAGTGTAACTCTAAAATTCTGCCCAGACTGAGTGTACTTGGTGAGGCACTATTATATATTTCCTCTAGGTCTCTGTACCCTGAGTCAAGGCCCTGAGAACAATTTTGAAGAAGAACTGGAAGGCCTGTGAGGTTTCAGCCAAAGAGTAATCACTCCCTTCAGATGCTAGACCTAGACAACTAACCCAAAACTGATCTCAAACTTGCTGATAAGACAGCTTTTAGCACTCACAAATCCACAAGTGCATCACAGTCAGACACATTTGACCCCTGGTGTCTCCAGATTGTCCTCTGGCCAGCAGGACACCCGCTAAGAAAACCTGATAATTAACTAATGTAACAGCATCTTCAGAAGGCAGCCTGGAGCGACCTTGGTGAAAAGTCATCTAGTCCTGCCATTCTGGTTCTGGTTGGGACCGGGAACCACTTGCCATGTGGGACTGAAAGGGGCTAAAAATATTTGGCGTAGCATCAGACACCTTGTGTTAGCGTCTAGCATCAACAAGAATCACATGGGAGAAAAATATTGAGAAAATTTCGTTAATTAAAACATTTCCACAAACTAAGAAAAGACCACCTTTTAAGTTTTGCTTAGAGAAAGGAAACACGGGGTATTCCATGAAAGCAGAATTTGAAATCCATAGGGAAGAGTTCAGTCACCTCATACTGAGACCAGAAAAGGGAAGTGTTTGGACCAAGGTCATTCAAAAAATCCGTAGAAGTTGTGATGAGCCCCTGCATCCCTTCCACTACAACCCCACTGTCTCTACTAACTGAAAAATATTTTAATTGGAGACACTGTGCCATCTCCAAGGTTCTCCTAAATTACCCTTCAGGATGACCCGCTCTGGGAAGGATGGGTCAGTGCTCCCTGGCTTCTGACTTAGGGGACCAGCCACCCTGAATAGGACTGTAGCGCCGCGATCCCCCATCTTCTGGAATCCTGGACGGAGGTGGCTACTAGGGCGGTTCTCTCGCCAACTCCACACCTTCCGGAGCCTGGCCTGGCCCGGCCCGGCCCAGCCCAGCCCCTCCGCTGTTTCCCAGTTCCTGGCGGCAGGCTGGGCTTAGGCGGTCAGACCCCCAGTGGGAGGCAAGCGGGGAGCCCCAAACGGAGGCCACACCCAAGAAGGCAGCTCACAGACTGTTAGCAACTTCGCGGGGAATGGGGTCCGGGATGCGAGTGGGCCGCAGGTCAGTACCCAAAGTGCCAGAGAGGACCTCTCGACCCTCTGACTGGGGGTGGGCATCCCGGGAAGCAATGGCTCGGCCAGTCCCATACCTGTCCCCACGCCTCACACCCGCCCCGCCGGCGCCGGCCGGGACGTGCCGCCTCAGCAATTCCTGGGGCTTATTAGGCTCACTCTGGGTCCGGCAACGAACTGCTCCGGCCTCGCAGGGGTCGCTCGGGCCCGTCCCACCCCCCCACCCCCACTGACAGCCCGGGCTTGCTGGGGGGTGGGGGGGGGGTCTCCCTGGGCGGGAGGACCTGCTAGTGCACTGGCGGCCCACAGCCCCGCAGCCTCGGTGCCGGGGAAAGATGGCCTACCACCTCGAAGCTCCGCCGGACCCACGCTGCGCCCCCGAGAGGCCGCCTTGGCTCCTGGGGCACCGCGCAGCCTCCCGGCCTTCGCACCGGGAACCGTTTCCGGGGCGAATGCTTTTCGTAGCTGACCCGGCGCGGCCCGTGACGCGAGGGCCCAGACGGAAGTGCGGGCGGAAGAGCCGGAGCCCGAGCCGGAGCCCGACCGAGAGCAGGTCTCGGGGGCTCCGGCTGTGGGGACTGCTGGGCCTGGCAGCGATGGCGACCCTGTGGGCCGGCCTCTTTCGTCTCGGCTCCATGCTCAGCCTGTCCTGCCTGGCGCTCTCGGTGCTGCTGCTAGTGCAGCTGTCGGACGCCGCCAAGGTGAGTCCCGCCCCGCGCTCGCCCCAGACCGGAGCTCCTCCCCTGCCTCCGGCCTTGTCCACCTGCATCCCACCCAAGTCCTCTCCCAGCCCTGACAGCCCGACCCCTAGCTTCACAGCCCTGGCCGACTACCACCCGGCACCCTCCCGACGGCCAGGGAGCAGTCCAGCCCTCCTGCTCCAGCTGACGGTCCCCGCCCGCACCCCTCCCACCCGCGGAGCTGACACCCCGCCCCAGCCCCACCCGGCCCTGACGGCGCCCAGAGTCGGGACAGCATCTCCGCCTCCTTGAATTTCCCTTCCCAGCCCCGACAGCACCCCCCGCTGCCCCAAACTTGACAGCTTTCCCAACTTTAACAGCCTTTAACTTTATACGCTTGAGCTCTGACAGTCCACCGCCGCCCTCCACCGGCTTCACAGACCACTGCCCCAATTCCCCAGGCCAAAATGATAGGAAGCCCACATCTCACAGCTATCTTCCCTCTTAGGAACTAACTCCTCTCAAGTCACCCCTGAACTCATCCCTTCCCACCGTGGGAACTTGCTTCTCCTGGCAGCCTTCCTTCTCAATACGACCTACAGGAGTCTCTCTCACCGGCCTCATATCCTCACCTGACTCCCTCCAGGACCTCCTGGCCCCTTTCTTGCCTTCTCTCTTCTTGATAATTTAGTGGGTAAGGGAGGATCCAAACTACAGGAGAGGTGAGGTTGTGGCCTTCTCCCCTGCTCCATTTCTTGGCCCTTCTGGTCCCCCTCATGCTGCTCTCTAGTCCCCTTCGTGCCCATACCCTCCAGACCTGTCCTTGATGAGCTAGCTCATTACTAGGGAAAACAGATGGCCTGCACATTAATATAATGGGAAAACAGAATGACATTTTTCTTTTTTAAGTTGGAGCTTTACTCTATAATACCTTTAAATATAGGGGCTGGGAAAGATGGGTGACAAGTATACAGATCAGGGGGGTTTTGGTCAGGGGTTCTTTTTTTATTGAAGTATGTAGTTAATTTACAATGCTATGTTAGTTTCAAGTGTACAGCAAAGTAATTCAGATTCTTTTCCATTATAGGTTATTACAAGATACTGAGTATAGTTCCCTGTGCTATACAATAGATCCTTGTTGTTTAGGTCAAGGGTTCTTTTTGAAATCTTCCCTATGTCCCTCCAGAAACAGGGACAGCAGCAAGTCTCCTGACTTTCAAAACACTGCTGGCACCCTCTGCATATCTTCTGTCATCACTCTAAGTGATATATTGTAACCATGTACTTGTCAGTCTCCTTTACTTGGGCACGTCCTAATTATGGGCAGGAACCATGTCTCACACTTATCTGAATCCACCTCATTGCACACAAGTTCTGGCATAGGACAAATGCTCACTAAGTAGTTTTTCAATGAGTGAATGAATTACCAACTCTGCCAGATATACCACCATATATAGGACTTTTGGACCTGGTCCTCTGGAGACTAATGAGCTGCTGCCTTCTCAGATTAGATTCCCCTTTGCTGGGGAAGCATCTCCTACTCCCTCTATTCATAAATTTAGTCACCCCTTCCTCCACTTCTTGAAACTTGCTTTATCAGTAGTTGTCCTCTCTGTCTCCCAGGGATTAGAAGCAAAGTTTCCTGGGAAGGGTATACCAAACTGATCTCAGCTACACTCACACTACTCCCCTTATGTATTGGTTTGGCCAAAAAGTTCGTTCGGTTAGTGAACATGTTCAATAAAGTTCTCTGTGAAAATGAAGAATGTGTTTTAGTTTTACTTTAAACCGAACGAACTTTTTGGCCAACCCAGTACTTCCTTTCTAATTGTAGCTGAGTGCCTCCAAAATTTCATCCCTTCTATAGGACTCTGGCCCAACCCATTTTAGCCATATCAATACCTTTCTACCAAAGGGTGGAAGGATGGTAAGTAGAAGAATTGTGATTTGTTTTGTGAGTAATTTTTAGTTTGATATTTCCCCATCCTTCTGTAATCAGCATTCTTACCTGCAGGCGCAGCTGTCTGTCTACCTCGTCTTTCTACTAGCAGGTAGATGGTGATAACATTAGCACAATTTGATTTTCATGTGACACAAAAATGTGATTAACAAGTCACAGATACTAGATGTTATTTCAAAATAATTTTATGTAGTATATAATCATTCATTAGCATTACCAATGGCTTTTAAAAACTTGTATATCTCACAGTTATTTAAAATTTTAAATGAATGGTTTTAGAATACTTGGCGGGGATGCTTAGCACAATGTGTAAGTTGCAGTTTTTAAAAATATTGATGATAAACTGTCAACAAGTTTCTATTTTGGTTATAGAATTCTGAGGATGTCCGATGTAAATGTATCTGTCCTCCCTATAAAGATAATTCTGGGCGTATTTATAATAAGAACATATCCCAAAAAGACTGGTAAGTATTCTGGATTACTGAATTACCTGTCAAATTTCTTTCTTTGGTTGCCACTGTTAGCCCTGGATATTCATCCAATGTATTGTTTTCTCTTTAAGCAAAAGTGTTGAATTCCATTTCTATTTGAAAAAGTGAAAGTAAGGCCCTGAGTGCATGATGTAGGCCTAAAGGAATGTAGCCAAAATCCCCAGGCAGGGAGGCTTTTACATTGGGATGGGGCTGAGTTTGTGGCACCCAAACTACCCGTAGCTACCCTTCTGTGTCTCCTTAAATTTTGGTCCTCCCTCTTGCTTCTCAGTGGAAGGTAAGCAAGCCTCATTTATCTGGGTCAGAGTGTTTACAATTTGTAGGTTTTGATGATATATTGTCAGATATAGGAGAGTATGTTTAAAAGTGTCAAAAGGCTCAGGAAGGAATGGGAATGAGCCGTGAATATCAGAGTTTACCAATTGGTGTGCTATTTATAGGTTATAGGTGTGCCAAGTTATTGATCCCTTCAGCCCTTGGCATATAATCAAGCCGGCCTGTGATGACTGGGATCCTGACTAGCTAGCCACCAGCAGCCTTCTCTGTTTATCCCAGTGGACCTTACAAATAATAGCTTTTTCTACATGTGCCGTAAAATGATTGGGAAGCAGTTGTTTTGTAGCAGGATAGGTGGGCTCCTTACCCTGGACTGGGATGTTTTATGGTTTGTAATGGAAGATTGCCAGTATAGGCCTAGAAGAAAAATAGCTCCAAATGTTCCGTACTTTCACATGTGCCCGATTTCACAGCTAAATAGCCCCGAAAGTTTGAAAGCAGAATTAAATTCATTCTGTTACAATATTCCAAGCTGACTTTGAATAAGAAAAGTTAGCCTTTGAGCATGTTTAGCTTTTCTGATGTCGTTGTCTGTTCTTCCCATGATGTGCATTTAGGTTCAATCCGACATTTGGTAAGTGTATTCTTGAGAACTTCTTGTGAGCTTTTGTGTTCTACTTTAAATTGTCTCATACTACAAAGTGATTTAGCTATTCTTCTAGGTTTTATATCATCAAGTTACTTTATATGAAAAGAAAACTCAAATAAGTTATTCCTATAAATTTTCCAAATATATTGAGCACTTACAATCAGTTTATTCTGTTATCAGTAATAGAATATGATGCCTGTTACTTGAGTGGCAAGTGAACTCACTATTCAAGTGTTTAGCACTAATCTTTTCACTGACTTTTTGTTTTTCCAAGTTCACAGAGAACCGTATATCATTTATCCCTGGTTATTGGTGAAGATAGGGAGCTTTGAAAATAAACAGTTGAAAACTAGGCTTGCTTTGGAATTTTTCTTCCCTCTCTCCCTTGCTTCCTTCCTGCAGCTTAGCCTTTTACTAGGGATAGGTTCACAGATGTCACTGAAAGTTTTTTAACTGGCTTTAGAAGGGTAGGCAAGTTATGACTAATCAAGATGTTATGGCTTTGCGAGGCTTCCAATATCTTATCTGACCCTATATATATTTTTACCTTCTGGCCTCTCCATTTTGTCCAGTTGTTAGCTTTAATTCTTCATTGACCTATACTGTCTAACTTAAGAAAAATTTGAGTTCTCTGGTTTGTGTTTGAGGTGTGATTTGAAGCTGGTAATGTCCTCCTTTTGGCACTAGGGGGAGGTGTCGCCTAGTTCCTGAAGTGGTTGTGTTCTGTATCTGGGTTCTGTGTTTACAGTGAGTGGCCAGCCAGAACCAACCTTCCTGCTTCCTCTCCCATCCTGCACAGCACTCAAAATCTCCTTGTTATTAAACTGTATTTGTACTTCCAAAGAAACACTCAATACTCAACACTTAAATTCCCCAAGTAATTCTTAAGTGTTGTTACTAAGGCTTCTGAAGCTGAAATAGAAAACTAAGTAGGAGATAAGTCTCATTTTCCTGAGGTTCAGAGAGATACAGGGGGGCTGTCCTAGGAGGCAGGAGCCCTGGATTCTGGTCCTTTTACCTATTACTTTACTCTGACCTGTATAGGTGACCTCTCCGAGAGTGCTGGGCTGGATGACTTTTATGATTCTGAGCTAGATACCCCTGCAGTGGGATTTAGCTTCCTCTGCCTATTGTATGCCTGCATCTGGCTGGATACGTTCCTGGTCTTCTGTACATTTAGAACAAATATCACACACTTGTATGGTGTGAATTGTGGGACCTTACTCTTATTTGAAAGTCTGCCAGTTGAGACTTATTTTTTCATTACTACCTTTGTTAAAATTAAATTACCTGTTAAGGAAAACTGACTGAACTTTTATCATTTATGCCATTTTGGGTTTTCTTTCTTATGCCACAGCTCAGAGGGAACAGAACACAAAAAAGTACGTTCTGATAGGGCAAAGGGAAAGAATCAGCCTGGAGCATTGGATGCCCTCAAGAAGGTGGGTGGAGTGGGACAGGATGCTGTGGTAGAGTTCTTGAGGCAGCCAGACATGCCTAAGGGAGAGAGCACAAGAGGGAGGGAAACTGCCCAGCAGCCAGCAGGAGGACAGCAAAGCTTTGCCTCCCTTTGCTGCAGGTGATCAGGGTAGTGGGCTCTTAATAGCTGGGGAGAGTAAGAATTATTTCCTAGAATTGACAGATTTCTGGGAAAAAGATTTTTTGGATAGGCTTGCTTTTTCATAAGCCGTAAATAAGTGACCTGGAAAATGGGGAGAAAATAAACCTCCAACCACAAAAACATTCAGCCTTTTATTATTTTTAAGTACTGTTGCCAGGTAGTGTTTTCATTTTAAAATATTTTTGTTGTCCTAATCCTACTTCTCCATGCTTTTTAAATAGACTTTTGCTCATTAAGAAAAGTAATTGTTTCTTACTCTGGTGTTCAGCTTTCAGAGTTTCATAATTTAACCAACTGTTAGGTGTGATTAGCCATTCATATACCACACTGTGGCAGTTTAGATGATATTAGTTAATTCATAAAAGAGGTAATCTCATATTTGAATAATGCTCCAGGTCACTTTAAATCATTTGAAGCGGTTTTACTTGCTAAATGAACAAGTCTAAATATGACTTGATCTGCTAAGTAGTTTTCAGTCCCATTTGGGATATTTCAGGTGCATTTTTAACTATAAATAGCACTTTTGAAAATAGCTGCTACATATGTGTCTTTATGGTTTCTTAGACTGTTAAAGCTTACCAAATTGCTAATGTTTAGAGAGGAAATGATTTCCCTTCCCTTACTGATTATTCATTCCTTATATTCATTCTTTCATTGGGAAAGTTCAGTGATTATTCCAGATTTCAGGAAAGGTTTGATCAGTGCAAGTAGAAAATCCAGCTAGGTTTAGGCAGTATTTTATCTTTGTTTTTTCAGCGATTGCCTTCATGTTGTGGACCCCATGCCTGTGCGGGGGCCTGATGTAGAAGCATACTGTCTACGCTGTGAATGCAAATATGAGGAGAGAAGTTCTGTTACAATCAAGGTAAAAAAACAATAATCCATCTTTTCTGCTTCTGGAACAGTTTTTGTTGGTATCTAGACAAGAAAGAAAATTTTGGACATTTGAATTCTATTTAGTTACCTAAACTATTGCTCTTCCATCCTGTTCCCCAGCACCCTCTTACCCGCTCCTTTCTCATCCCCAGCCCGCACCCTAAAAGGAGCAATGGGCCTGCTCTCCGCCTGCCTCGTTGAGATGCCTTGTGCATTAATTAGGATACCTTAGATAGATGTGATATGTGAAATGGCACCAAAAAAGCCCTGAGTATAATTAGCATTTCCCAGAAAGACATTCCAGCTTCTCTGTGGCCCACGTATGCCAAAGATTAGTGAGAAAGCAGGATGATTAGACCTTCTTCTTCCTGCCCTCTCAACCCTTAGAAAAAGTTTAATATATAGAGTGACTGCTCTATCCTAGAAAACATCACTTCTGGATTTTAAGATTTCCTTTCTTTATCTTTTATAGGAAATGGAATGTAGATCACTCTCATCACAATTTGGACCTCTAATGAGTTCAGTTACTTTATTATGGTGGCTAATAGTTCTTCTCCCCAGTTTTTTTATATGGAGGTCCCTATTCCTGTTGCCAAAAAAAAAAAAAAAAGCCTCAGGGGAATCTGGGGTGCTCAACTATGCCAGTTACAAAGACTCCTGTTGTGATTGACCCTGCGGAGAGCTCCTGCTCCAGCAGGGTACTGTCCCATAGAGAAACCATCATTGTACTTTTCTATTTTTTAACAAAATCTTTATGTATAATTTCCATACCCCAAATGTCACTCATTATAAGTGTATAATTTTATAAATTTTAGCCAATTAAAAGCCAATTTTTAAAATCCAGTTTTAGGGACTTCCCTGGTGGTCCAGTGGTTAAGACTCCACACTTCCAATGCAGGGGCCACGGGTTCAATCCCTGGTTGGGGAACTAAGATCCCACATGCCCCGCAGCCAAAAAATAAAAATAAATAAATACTTTGGGTATTGACCCTGATAACTTGCTAAAAAAAAAATTAAAAAAATAAAATCCAGTCTTAGAACATTCCCATCACCCCAAAAAGATCCCTCATAACCATTTATAGTTAATCCCATTCCTATCCCCAGCCCTAGACAATCACTATTCTGCTTTGTGTGTCTACAGATCTGGACATTTCATATAAATGGAATCATAAAATATGTGGTCTTCTGTGACTGGTTTCTTTCACACAGTGTAATGTTTTTGAGGTCTCTTCATGTTGTAGCATGTATCAGTACTTAATTCCTTCTTATTACTGAATAGCATTCTATTACATGAACGTACCACATTTTGCTTATCCATTCATCAGTTGATGGACATTTATTTCCAGATTTTTACTCTTATTAATAATGCTGTCATCAATATCTGCATACATGTCTTTGTGTGGATGTATGTTTTCCTTTCTCTCTGGTAGATTTCTAAGAGAGATAAGTTTATATTTAATTTTTTTTTTTTTTTTTGCGGTATGCGGGCCTCTCACTGTTGTGGCCTCTCCCATTGCGGAGCACAGGCTCCGGAGGCGCAGGCTCAGTGGCCATGGCTCACGGGCCCAGCCGCTCCGCGGCATGTGGGATCTTCCCGGACCGGGGCACGAACCCGTGTCCCCTGAATCGGCAGGCGGACTCTCAACCACTGCGCTACCAGGGAAGCCCTATATTTAATTTTTAAAGAGACTGCCAGGTTGTATTCTAAAGTAGTTGTACCATTTTACATTCTCACCAGTAACATATGAGGGTTCAGTTTCTGTACATCCTCGCTAACATTTGGTATTGACTGTCCTTAACTGTAGCCATTCTAGTGGGAGGTGTCACACTGGACTGCTTGACACCGCACGAATTAAGATCTCAAGAAAATCATGTGCCTAAAATGTATTTTTGTATATCTAAATTGATCTAAAGCAGTATGCTGTTGAAATTCATCTGAATTACATTTTCTGTTAGAGATCCTAACAGAAAGTGGTCTTGACTGCAGTGCTGTTGAATGTAGGACACTGTATTCAGGTGAAAAGAGAGAACTGCTGTGCTAGCAGTGGTGCAAATGATTAGCAGTAGGTGAAGATGGAATTTGAATACTCGTGAAAAGATCCCAAAGGCAAAATGCTTTCTTTCCTTTTTTTCTATAAATAATACTTTGGTGAAGAGTTGAGTTTATTTCTTATGTTGGAATCTGGTTTGTATAGAAATCCTGTATGCTTAACAGATAGATCAGTCTTCACTATGGCTTTAGCATTATTATACAAAATTCAGATTTCTTGGCTTGAACAGAGATATAACTTATTTTCAATTTCCTTTAGGTTACCATTATAATTTATCTCTCCATTTTGGGCCTTCTGCTTCTGTACATGGTATATCTTACTCTGGTTGAGCCCATACTGAAGAGACGCCTATTTGGACATTCACAATTGATACAGAGCGATGATGATGTTGGGGTAAGTTCTTAGCATGCCCTAGGTGTTCAAGGCCAGTCTCTGTCATCATCTGATATAAAGTGCATGTAAAGAGTAGTTACATAATAGATGTCCGTACCTGGAGCAGATCCTCCACCAGAAAACCTAAAGACAATTCTAATATTAGTGTATGTCTCTTTATGAGGAAATTGCTCTGTAAAGCCATAAATATGGTGCTTAGACCGATGATCCTTGGTGAGTGTGCTGTACAAGGCTTTGCCTTTCACTACCAAGGGCACAATTTTCATTGCCTTTTCCTGTTTACATTGAGAAAAGCATCGGATATAGTCTTCTTCCTAGGCTCCTGCCTGAACACCTTTCCTGTCAACATCACCAAATATTTTAAAAGGCAAAGAGGCTTTAGTGAAGGGAAGCATGAAAACCATAATGTTCTTTACTTAATGAAGTACAGCTTGATAACTTGCTGATGTTTTATATTTCCTATTTTCCTCCTTCTTTAAAAGAATCTGTGATCTTTAACTCTAGAGAAAAATAAAACCATCACTCCTGATTCTCTTCCTATCTTTAAAACACATTCATATTTGTATGTATAATTAATATAACTTCACTCAAAACCTTTGAGAAATTGACATAATCTGCAAATTTGTTATTCAGTATGGCTTAGAGAATTATATTGTTTGTTTTGTCATCATCCTGTTTTGGTTTGTTTCCAAATTTTCCACTATTTCATTATTACATATATAATATTCTTTAGAAATTACTTTTTATTTTGGATTACTTTATTGAACTATGTTTCTTTTTTTTTTCATCTATATTGGAGTATAATTGCTTTACAATGGTGTGTTAGTTTCTGCTTTACAACAAAATGAATCAGTTATATATATACATATGTTCCCATATCTCTTCCCTCTTGCGTCTCCCTCCCTCCCACCCTCCCTATCCCACCCCTCCAGGCGGTCATAAAGCACCAAGCTGATCTCTCTGTGCTATGCAGCTGCTTCCCACTAGCTATCTACCATACGTTTGGTAGTGTATATATGTCCATGCCTCTTTCTCGCTTTGTCAGAGCTTACCCTTCCCCCTCCCCATATCCTCAAGTCCATTCTCTAGTAGGTCTGTGTCTTTATTCCTGTCTTACCCCTAGGTTCTTCATGACATTTTTTTTTCTTAAATTCCATATATATGTGTTAGCATACGGTATTTATCTATCTCTTTCTGACTTACTTCACTCTGTATGACAGACTCTAGGTCTATCCACCTCATTACAATTAGCTCAATTTCGTTTCTTTTTATGGCTGAGTAATATTCCATTGTATATATGTGCCATGTCTTTATCCATTCATCCGATGATGGACACTTAGGTTGTTTCCATCTCTGGGCTATTGTAAATAGAGCTGCAGTGAACATTTTGGTACATGACTCTTTTTGAATTATGGTTTTCTCAGGGTATATGCCCAGTAGTGGGATTGCTGGGTCATATGGTAGTTCTATTTGTAGTTTTTTAAGGAACCTCCATACTGTTCTCCACAGTGGCTGTATCAATTTACATTCCCACCAACAGTGCAAGAGGGTTCCCTTTTCTCCACACCCTCTCCAGCATTTATTGTTTCTAGATTTTTTGATGATGGCCATTCTGACCGGTGTGAGATGATATCTCATTGTAGTTTTGATTTGCATTTCTCTAATGATCAGTGATGTTGAGCATTCTTTCATGTGTTTGTTGGCAGTCTGTATATCTTCTTTGGAGAAATGTCTATTTAGGTCTTCTGCCCATTTTTGGATTGGGTTGTTTGTTTTTTTGTTATTGAGCTGCATGAGCTGCCTGTAAATTTTAGAGATTAATCCTTTGTCAGTTGATTCATTTGCAAATATTTTCTCCCATTCTGAGGGCTGTCTTTTGGTCTTGTTTATGGTTTCCTTTGCTGTGCAAAAGCTTTGAAGTTTCATTAGGTCCCATTTGTTTATTTTTGTTTTTATCTCCATTACTCTAGGAGATGGGTCAAGAAGGATCTTGCTGTGATTTATGTCATAGAGTGTTCTGCCTATGTTTTCCTCTAAGAGTTTGATAGTTTCTTGCCTTACATTTAGGTCTTTAATCCATTTTGAGCTTATTTTTGTGTATAATGTTAGGGAGTGATCTAATCTCATACTTTTACGTGTACCTGTCCAGTTTTCCCAGCACCACTTATTGAAGAGGCTGTCTTTTCTCCACTGTACATTCCTGCCTTCTTTATCAAAGGTAAGGTGGCCATATGTGCGTGGGTTTATCTCTAGGCTCTCTATCCTGTTCCATTGATCTATCTTTCTGTTTTTGTGCCAGTACCATACTGTCTTGATTACTGTAGCTTTGTAGTATAGTCTGAAGTCAGGGAGCCTGATTCCTCCAGCTCCGTTTTTCTTTCTCAAGATTGCTTTGGCTATTCGGGGTCTTTTGTGTTTCCATACAAATTGTGAAATTTTTTGTTCTGGTTCTGTGAAAAATGCCAGTGGTAGTTTGATAGGGATTGCATTGAATCTGTAGATTGCTTTGGGTAGTAGAGTCATTTTCACAATGTTGATTCTTCCAATCCAAGAACATGGTATATCTCTCCATCTGTTTGTATCATCTTTAATTTCTTTCATCAGTGTCTTATAATTTTCTGCATACAGGTTTTTTGTCTCCTTAGGTAGGTTTATTCCTAGATATTTTATTCTTTTTGTTGCAGTGGTAAATGGGAGTGTTTTCTTGATTTCACTTTCAGATTTTTCATCAGAACTATGTTTCTTAAAGTGAATAAAATTTAGTAGAGTTTCAAGAATCAATTCCAAAAGCCAAAGCCAGGATAAAGCCTTGCCAATCACAGTCAAAAGTCCTTTTACTCTGGAATGGCTTGTGGACCCATTGGTAAAAGATGAGAAAGGGGATCCCGAATGAATGGCTTAAGTTATAATTACAGAGCCTGCTTGTCTCATGAATATCGATATTGAATACTCAATTTGAGCAAGATTTCATTTTTGTTTTGTGAAGAACTTTCATAGAAATACCTCTCTTTGCCTCTTTTCCCTTTGCTTCCTTTAGTAATTCAGCCAACACATAACAAGTAACTTTTCCATATCAGGAAGGATTAGAGTCTCAAATTCTGTTCCCATGTTAATTTTCATTCACATACAACATTTCCCATTGACATTTTGGGTCAGATGATTGTTTGTGATAGGGGACTGTCCCGTTCACTGCATGATATCTAATAGCATCCCTGACTTCTGCCCACTAGAAGCCTCATCCCAATCATGACAATCAAAAATTTCCACAGGCGTTGCCAAATGTTCCTGGGGGTCAAAATCACCCCCAGTTGAGAACTACTAACATATGAAAACGTTATGTATCAAAGGCCACCTAAACCATTTCATTATAGGCACAGAGACAGAAACTCTGACTTAAACTACATCCCTTATAGCATTAAATATCTGGTTCCTGATTTTAGGGATAGACAATATTAATGTAATACACAGAACATAAAAGAAATGGATGTACAAATGTGTAGATAAAAACATGTAGGAAAGGCATTTGATGGGACCATGTGCTTAGTAACCATTTTATTCACCAGTGATTGATTCTGTAAGCATGTCGATCATATGAGAACATTGTCTTGAGAGGCCTGGCTGACTTTTGGATATCTGTTAAATTGATTCTGGGCAGAGAGAGGTTTTCTAAACACAGGTATGAATTTATGGTAACAGCTCCGTTCAAAAGAAGTTCAATTTAAAGTCCTACAATTGTTGCTAATCCAAGATGATAGTTCTTCACTCTTTATGTGCCTTTAAACATGCTTTTGTTAAATTCTCAGTTAAATTCTGTTTTAATTTTTTCCATTTTTGTTGGCTGTAGAGCACTTTGAATCAAGTGAGGGCACAAATAGTTAAGAAGCTCACTGCAAGTAGTCACAATAGTTACTGTATTATATATCCGTGACACATCATTGCTATTATCAAAGCATTACATTAAAACATGTTTTGTACTTATTGTAATTTTATCAGGTGTAAAAAGTGCAAACATATATAAAGGGTAAATCTCTATTTGCATTCTCCCGGCATCCATGACTATGAGCAGCTAGTTCAGTCTTGTTCAATCCTTCTGGCTAGTTCAGGCCAGAAGGATTAACTGTTTGTTTAGTCCTTTAAATTTGTTCCTTAAGAAGATGTTTCTCCCCCTACCTTGACGAGTAGATAACAGGGCTATGAAATTGAGAAGCACTCTGCTGGTAAAGTACATCCTTCTTCCCACTCTTGTTTATGTCAAAACAAACCAATGGTAATAATGTTTTATATACAAGTTCACTGAAGCACCATATTCGGATAGTGTCATTTTAATCTACCTGAACAAAATCAGTGTGTTAAGAAGATGTGACACCAGGTCAAGTTTAGGAAAGCTAAGACTTGTGCTTGTGCTCATTTGTTAGATGACCTTGGATCGGTTTATTTCCTCATGGGAAATAAAGTAATCCAACAACATTAGCCGCCTTCCTCTTTCCTAACGTTCTTTCTTAGATCTTTGAAACATTTGAACTTTGTGGAATAGTTTTTATTATTTTCATTTGTAAGGTTAAAAAAAGAATGGGGTTTGCACAAGGTATTACCTAAATTAAGTGAAAAGTTGAAGCAATTTTGGTAAAGAAGGCAGGGATAGATTCTTTACAGAAAACTCTTTGGTGTCTTTGAAATGTCGACATTATATAAATATCTTGCTCTAAAAAGAAGACCAGGTGTTAAAACACTGTTTAGTTATAGTTTTATATATATAGTTATGCAGTTATGTATAGCTTTCCATAGACACGCTGACTCCTGCCCTGGGTATATAATAGAGCTTTTGCAAACATGCAAAACAATATTGTTTCTTTCTGAGAGGAAAAGTTTAAGAGGCCTGACTTGTGACTTGTATCCTATGTTGGAACATTTAGGAGCTTTGCTAACCCAGGTTCAGGAAAAAGAGATCAAGGAAAAGGCAAACAAAAGCAATAAATTAGTACTGAATGCCTTTTGTCATTTAGGCAGCTGTGTTTATATCTCATTCATAGATAGATTAGCATGGTGGTTTCCTGTGTAATGACTACAAACGTCAGTGGCGTTGGTTTACTTTGACCAGGATAGGTTCGTTTTCTACATAGATACCTGGGTGACCCTTCAATGGCCTCTTTCCTAATGTGGCAGCGAACATGGAAGCTACTGTGTACTCAGCAATGAAAGATTCAAGTCTTTACCAAATAGAAATGCTGAAGTAATAATTCCTTACTGTCCTTAGCACTAGAGGGTAATTGTAGCACTTGAGCTATGTCTCTGTTCATTACAGATTGGGGAAGGGGGGAAATGTAGGTGTTGAGGGCATAAGAAGAGATGGAAACCAACCAAGATAGGATCCAGTCAACTCATCTCCCAGGATGAATGTGGCCCCAAGCTGGCAAGTAACAATTCTAATATAATGGGAGTCAGGAAATTAAAAGATAGGAGTTTCCTCAGCCACAGATTAGCTGTATAGTATCAAATAAAACAAGGAAAAGCCCTACTTTCTGTATCTGTAACATATAGATATTAACATGCAAAATAGATTTTCTTTCCACCACTCATCAAGACGGGCTTTTCTTTAACGTAAATGACCACTGTCTTTGTCTTGATCCCGACTTCTTAAGGGAATGTCTTTGGAAATGGTGACTCATGGGAACTTTGCACAAATACCTCCTCATCGCTTATTTTACTTGAACCAACTATTTCTGTAGTTGAGTTCATCCTGCTTCTGGTAGTTGAGTGTCTAAGAGTGCTTGGCCAAATTAGATGGTCTGTTTGAAAAGGCCAGCTGCTCCTATCTCCGTGGCTGGATAACTGTGTGTGTGTGTTTTACACGGACCATGTTGTTCTGATGTTCTCCATTCCTGGACTTTCAGGATCACCAGCCTTTTGCAAATGCCCACGATGTGCTGGCCCGCTCCCGCAGTCGAGCCAATGTGCTGAATAAAGTAGAGTATGCCCAGCAGCGTTGGAAGCTTCAAGTTCAAGAGCAGCGAAAATCCGTCTTTGACCGTCATGTTGTCCTCAGCTAACTGGGAATCGAATTCAAGGTGACTAGAAAGAAATAAGGCAGACAATGGGAAAAAATTGACTGAGTTTTCCTGGGTTTTGTTTTAATGCCCTGTTGATTTCACTAACTCTTGCTGGAAAATTCAAAACTGGAAACAAAAACATGCTTGGTATTTTCTTTTCTCGTTAATGTATTAATGGAGGCATTTTTTAAAGCACACGCCTCAAACAACGTTATTCTTTTCCTGTTTGTGACTTTTACTAATAAAAATATGTCTGCCTGTAAATTATCTTGAAGTCCTTTACCTGGAAAAAGCACTCTCTTTTTTACCACACAGTTTTAATTTGGTTTTCAAGATAATTTTCAGGGGTGGTTTTTGTGTGGTGTTTTTTGTTTTTGTTTTTGTTTTTGGCAGAGTAGGGGAGGGACACGTGGGAAGGGCTTAACATAACTTTTCTCAAGTCACTTTACTAAACAATCTGTTGTAAATAGACTTTGCCTTTTATTTTCAAGTTTCATTCATATTTTGAAGTCTGCCAGCCTCATCAAAGCCCTGACTTACCTATTTGAATTTTGCACTGACTATATTGTCTGGACATCTGGTTGGCCTGTGGCTGCACTTCATGGTAAATTGGATCTGAAATGCCTGGTGGCTCTTCACAAGATGCAGATTTTCTTCATGTACTGTGATGTCTGATGCAATGCATCCTAGAACAAAGTGGCCATTTGCTAGTTTACTCTAATGAATAAACATAGTCTTGGTGTGTGGTCTTTCTCATCTTCTTCTAGTATCTTTAAGGATGAATCCTAAGGACTTGGACACTTGCAATAAAGAAATTTTCTTTTAAACCCAAGCCTCCCTGGATTGATGACATACACATATTTGTCAGCATCTCCAGTCAGGTTGAGAGGCAGCTGTTTGAGCTGTAGTGTGTACAGCTTTGAACTAGCACTGGAGTTCCAGTTGCCTCCCTCTGAAAGGTATAGCAGTTATTGGATAACTGGCTTTTTTCTTCCTATGTCCTCTTTGAAATGTAACAAAAATAATTTTTGAAAAACTTTTTTTCATATTCTTTTCTATTATGGTTTATCACAGGATATTGAATATAGTCCCTTGTGCTATACAGTAGGACTTTGTTGTTTATCCATTCTATATTATAATAGTTTGCATCTGCTAATCCCAAACTCCCAATCCATCCCTCCCTCACTCCCCTCTCCCTTGGCAACAACAAATTTGTTCTGTATGTCTGTGTGTCTGTTTGTTTCATAGATAAGTTCCGTTGTGTCGTATTTTAGATTCCACATGTAAGTGATATCATATGGTATTCAGACAATGGAATATTATTCAGTGCTAAAAAGAAATGAGCTATCAAGCCACAAAAATATGTGGAGGAACCTTAAATAAATATTACTAAGTGAAAGAAGCCAATCTGAAAAGGCTATTTACTATACGATTCCAACTATATAACATCCTGAAAAAGGCAAAACTATGGAGTAAAAAAAAAATCAGTATATAATATGTCATTATACATTTGTCAAATTCCCTAGAAATGTACACCACCAAGGGTGAACCGTAATGTAAACTATGGGCTTTGAGTGATAATGATGTGTCAATATTGGTTTATCAGTTGTAACAAATATATCATTCTGGGGCTGGCCTATTGGTAGTAGAGGAGAATGTGCATATATGTAAGAGCAGGGGGTAAATGGGAACTATGTACTTTCTGCTCAGTTTGCGGTGCATCTACAATTGCTCTGAAAAATAGTTTATTTAGAAGGAAAAAAATTTTAATAGATATATAATAAAATGTAGGTTCATATTGAGCTTCCTGGTCATGGCCTTAATCTCTATTTAAAAAATATTGGCGAATATTTGCACATTATGAGATTATTACTTAAAGATATTTTCCATAAATAATTTTGATATAAGATTATATAACTCAGATAAATGGGGGGGCATTCTTTTTATAAAAGAATTTGTTACAAGAGTCCAATTTTGCAAGCAAAGCTTTCTATTTAGTATTGTTGTATGTTGTCATATCTACATATTAGGTAGAGAAAACAGATAAACCAGACTGAGCAGTTCTGTTTAACTGTAAGCTATTTTGCATGTTGTTACTAAATGATCACCTATAAATCAGTTTAAGTCTGACTCAGCCCAAAGTACAGCCTCTCGGCAACAAAATTCAGGTAAGAGACTCTTCTCCAGAGTGGCCCATGGGGGAGAATAAAAACATGGTTTTTAAGAAAATCCCTAGGCACAGTTGATAAATGATGAATTTTTTCAGCTATCTGATTATTCCATTATCTTAAAACTATCAAATATGCTTATATGTTTAAAGAGTCAGTTTTGCTGATGATTCAGTCATCTGGAGGAGTGGAAAGTGTTTTTGGGTTTGGAAGTCAGGAGGTTTAGGTTCTGACCTCTGCTCTGCTGCTAGCTCTGCAACAATTATGAGGGATTGGATAAGAGGATTTCTAAGGTTTCTCTAGGCCTAACATTCAGTAATTCAATTTATATGTGCAGTTGTAGCTTTTTGTTTTTTCCATGCTAGATATTTGTAATCTCTCAGAAAGTTGAAGCTTTTATGCTCAGCAGAGCATCCAGAATCTCTTAGGATTTTATCATTAAGACCTCATCATTTATTTCCCAGAAGAGTTCTAAGACAGACACCTGAGATTTTCCCTAAAAGGCAGGTGAATTTGTTAGCTATGCGTGTATCTGGCTTTGGAGCCGCAGCACTTACAGCCTGTGTGGCTCTCTTTTAAAACCTTTACTCAATTTCTACAAACATGTCCAGCTGCCACTAGACTTCCTATCTCCATCCTCTTCACTACTGCCTTTTTCATTCTATCACTATTCTTGTTAAATTTTCTTCTTTGAATAAAGGATCATTTAAATGCTGCTACATTGATTGGTGAACTTTTTGGAAATGCTCAATAGAAAAGGCTTTCTCATCAGTGTGTCTCCAAAGACACCAGGCTCTTTTTCCAAGAATTATGCAACATCTTGTTAAAACCTAGAAACTATTAATTACCTGTTGCGTATACAAATTACTCAGATTTCATCTGGGTCAAGGCTTAAGATATTGTTAAAATTATCAGTCAGGATGAACTATACCGAAAGAATTCTTGTGTGTAATTAGCTTTGATGACATCTGCTTTACTTTTTGGTACCCTGTTGTATCAGTTCTGGCTCGTTAGCTATAGGCAGAAATAAGGTGCTGATGTCCTCAGAAATGTAGTAATAGGGGCTTCATACCCATTGTGCCATCATTTCCCAACTTCTGCCATACACATCCTTTATCTCTTACCCACTAGAATTCTTGGCTCGAGAATTTCCCAACTCTTTTTCTCAGCAACTTTTTCTTTTTGACAGAATCTTGGCGAGTTTGTAATCCAGAGATTTTCATTTTATGTTAGTTATTTTAGGCCATTGGATCAGTAATTTGGAATCTTTCATTTCCTCTGTTTTGATTTTTAATTGGACCTATGGCACTTATCTCATTCCCTCACCACCACACCCCTATTAGGAAGAGCTTTTCCTGGCATTTATTCCTTTTTCAGCCTTTTTCACCATGACATTATAACCCTCCCCACCACGCACATTTCCCACCCCTCATCCGCTATCCCCCATCCCCTACTGCCCTTTCTGGTTCCAGAGTCTTTTGTCTTTTCTGTAGCCATACTTGATAGGATAGGTTTTTTCACAAGAATTGTAATACACTTTATTGCACTTGAATTCTGGTGCTTAGAGACTGCTCCTGTCATTACATAGTGCAGCCTGCAGAGTTTTCTTTTACTCAGGTAGAGAAACAAGTTCCAGTGTTTACCTAATCTTGCCCTCAAACATTAGGGCTGGATTTTTTGTGGAAAAAGAAAGCCACCTTTCCTTCTTTTCTGAAAGCCCCAAATTAGATTTCATGTGGCTTTTTCTTTTCTATTTTGGGTATGTTCTTCATCTCTCAACAGATGTGCTTTGGATAGATCAATGTTTGATCTTCCAGTGTTAGGGAAAATATAGGCCAGGTTTTCTATAAGGTGCAGGTGAGAAAGGGATGCTGCACAAGTATTCATCTGTTAAGAAATGAAACAGGAAAAGAACTAATACCTAGTGCATTATATATATATTTTTTCATTTAATCCTCACAACCACCCTGCAGAATAGTTGATATCTCAGTTGGACATAGGAATAAGCCAGAGCTCAGAAAGGTTAAGAAATTTGCCTAAGGACACACAGCTAAGAAGAGGCAAAGCCAAGATTGAAACTTGAGAATGTTAATGACTGAAAGAAAAACGCCCTTTTCCTACAGCACTTCCTTGACTTCCAGTTAACTAGTTACACTGTAATGTTCCTGTGAAATCCGTTGTGACCACATTATTACAGTCAAAGGCAAAAAGTAATGGTAGTGTAATAAATAAGCTGGATGCAGGCCTATTCAGAAGAAGGGAATGTGTTAATATGAGACATCTTGGAGTATTATACTTTAAGTTCCATGAAAAAAAAAAACCTAAATACCGATGCACTTTACTCAATATATTTAAAGTTCTAAGTAAAAATATGTTAATTGACCATGTTTTAAATGTGTTAGGGGAGTTTCTCATAAAGGGAATCTTACAGTGAATTTTTAAGAGCAAATGATTCCTTTTTTATTTTCAGTTTTGCCCCCGGCATATCAGGTATCGTTTAAGAAGGCTATGCCTGTGAGGTTGCATGATCACTAGCTAGTTTGTAATTTCTCCAACACGTATTTGAATATTGTGGTGTTTCAGTGTTTCTCAAACATCAGTATTTGCATACACCTTCACAGTCTTCATTATATTAGTGTTCCACCTGTACTGTTATTTACTTAATATTTTTCTGTAAATCAATTTACATTTTTTACTCAATTAGCTTTATTTTTAAAAGAGACTTTGTATCACTACTGTAAATGTGAAATCAGTATAATTCACAATAAATGGAAATTAAATAAATAAATAATTTTTAAAAAAGAAATTAATAGTAAAACATTATTAGATTCTAGCTAGATACTATTCCTGTTGAAGGCTTCCATCTGAGGAGGATTAGAAAGCATTCTAGTAGTATGGAAAACACACTCTCATCAGATTAAAGATATATCCTTGTAATCATAAGGACTGAAAGGGAATAACTTTCTCACAAGGCAAGTCAATGTTATTTCATGCTGTTTCTGTGTACCATCAAAAATCCTCTCCCTTACTACCCAAAGAATGTTGTAACCCCATCAAGTTTTCAGAATGAGCTCAGAAACTATTCATCAAAGCAGAAAAGTCTCTGATCTCTGTCGATATCTGTACTCTTTTGATCTGGCCAAATTAATAAACTTGGTTCTGTTTCCAGGCTAAAGAGGAAGTGATGGACAATAAAACCTACTCCAATCTGCCAGACAAACAGCCTGTCTCCTCTGATTCCACCCACTTGCCACTGACCAGGTCCTTCTATCTGGACCCCATGATCATGTTCCACCTGTACCCTGAGGGCCCGGTGCCATCTCCTTACTCTGAAGACCTGCCATTGCTGCCTTTTTCCAGTGACTCTCTGATCATGGAAGACTATGGGGAACCCTGCGCCTTCTCCTTCCCAATGCCTTATCCAAATTACAGAAGGTGTGAATACTCCTACAGGCCAGCCTTTATCCAGAAAAGGAATGAGCGGGAAAGGCAGCGGGTGGAATGTGTCAATGAAGGCTATGTCCAGCTCCGACATCATCTGCCAGAGGAGTACTTGGAGAAACGACTCAGCAAAGTGGAAACCCTCAGAGCCGCAATCAAGTACATTAATTACCTGCAGTCCCTGCTGTACCCAGATGAGGCTGAGGCCAAGAATAACCCCAGGAAAGATTCCTCCATAATAGCAACCACCAGCCGCCACACTGGCCCCATTTTCAGAATCATTTGATTCCGTGTTTCTAAATAGAAACAAATAATTTCACAAAATGTGGTCCCTTACATCATTTGATAGTTTTCCTAATGGAATCTCTGGGTGGGCAGATAATAGTTCAAATGCTAAGCTGTGTTGGATATTTCTTACCTGGGTTTCAGATGTACTAAACATTATCTTATGTAGATTGAGAAAACGCTTCTTAACCTTTGGTAATTTCTTTCAAGAACTTTAGGGAAGCAGGAGTCCCCAGAATTCTCTATATCTCTCACCTTGCCCTTCTCGCACACTTGGCCAGAGTCTCAGCTGTGAGAAACTCACAAAAGTATTGTAAAGTAAGACTAATGACTATTCAATGCCTGTACTGCACTTTGCAGACGCTTCATGCTGAGCAATCACAATGAACCTCCCTGGATTTGTCAAAGTTTGGTGGGTTTTATTATTTGGAGTTGGCGAGAAATCTATACCTCACTCATAATGTGATGCGGAAGTATCTTGGGGCTAAAGCAAAAGTAGTTAACAAAACCTTGTTGTCATTTGAAATTACTTCAGAGTCATCTTTTTCCTGCATGCAGCAGACATCCTCAGGTAACTTAGTTTGCGCTTAAGAGTGCAGGCTCCAGTCATACTGCCTCCATTTACATTCTGACTCTGCTGCATCCCCACTGTGTTCTCAGTTTTTCATCCACAGAATGAGAATTATAGGAAAAGCAGCTACCCCTTATGTTTATTATCAGTATTAACAGTGCTTGTGAAACATAATGAAAACATTATGTGAAAACAATGTGAAACATTATGAAAACACATAATGTTTTCATAGCCATTATTTTTAAACCTTATTATCCTCTTTTTTTTCTTTTTTGCCCATGACATCAACATTCTTCAGGTTCTCCAGGCCAGAAAATGTGAGAAGGACAGTGACGTCCCCTATCTTGGAGTCTGCCTTCAAAATGTTTCTATTTCTGTTCCTATGATGAGCTTCAGCTCTTCCTTCTTCCTTAACTCCCACGTCCCCTCTGTCACCAAGCACAGGCAGGACTTCCAACACACTGTCACATTCATCTCCACTGTCACCTCTCTGTGAAGTCTTTCCACCACAGCCATTACTTGTTCCTTTATTTTGAACACATATTTCCTTGCCGTTCTTATCCTGCTATCTTTACTTCTCCTATCTTTGCACACCTATCTCTGTCTTCAGTAGAATGTAAGCTCCTTGAAGATAGGGGTCAGTCTTATTCATCCTATATTCCTAGCACCCAGCAAAGTGATTCAAGTCAGGTAGGCATCAGGAAATATTTGGTGGTGTTATTTTCCTATTCCCATCCCGTCACATTGTGTCTGGATAACTCGGTGGCCTCCTGGGCTCTGTTCTCAACTGGCTCTGTCACCACTCTGATATTCTTTATCTTAAAGTATTTCATGTCATTTCATTGCTCAAGCCCCATGACAACTTCCTTTTGACTATGACATTGTTGACATTTATCTGCTTGGTTTTCAAAGCTCCCATCAATTTGGCCCCTTCCCAAATATCCACACTTGATTTTCCCATGACACCCCATTCCCTTCACCCCAAAAAGAAAATCACAGTCTTGCAAATGTATCCTTCTGTCTTAGCTCTTGCTTCCTACCAAGACGGAATGGAATATTCTCCTTGTTCACTGTTGAAATCCCACCTATCTTATTCAGGAAGCCTTCTCTCATAGCCAGAGACTAAATCACTCAGCCTTTAGGGTAACAGCCGTTCCCCTGGCTGCGAAATTAAGCTCTGTGAGGGTTGACATCAGTTAGGATGCTTTTGGTTACAACCGATACAAAAATCTGATAAAAATTGGTGTAACCAATAAAGGGAATTTATTTGTTCACATACCTTAGCTTCTAGCAGTAGGGCCGCCTTCAGGCAGGGCTCAACACTGTCACCAAGAACCTGTTTTCTTTAGGTCTGTCCTCTCTGGGAATAGCTTCAGTGTCCCAGACTGTCAGAAGCTCCCAGAACCTCAAGCTTTCTTATTTATGTATAGGAGGAAAAAGAAAGTCTATAACCCAGGATTTCCAACAAGTCTTGAGATTCATTCTGATTCCAGAGGCACGGGAACATGCCCATGCCCTAGTGGCCAGGGATTGGAATGTGCTGATGGACACACATGAATCGGGGGGTACAGTCAGCCTCTCCTAACCACACAGAGCCACAACAGAAACAGGAACTGGTGGAAGCAGGGGATGGATGGGGTAGAGAACCACAAACGTCCCTACATACCTTTTTGGTCTTCTCCACTGAACACAGTGTTGGGCACACAGCCAGTGCACAATGACTGCCAGATGCCTCAAATACCAGCCTCCTCCTCTGGATGTTCAAATGAGAGCAGAATCTAGACTTCTGTTCCTTTGGTCCCCATTGTCCACTCCCACCACCCCAAGTGATCATTACACCTCTGCTCCTCAGCAGTCCTGTTACAGACAAACATGCCCACACTTTTGGTTATTATTTTTTTTAAACTAAAGACAAATTCTTAGAGTCCTTAGGCCACCCAGTGGTTCCCTCCACTCCTGCCTCGTGCCCGCACCGGGTGAAGGCAGGTCAATAGCCTTGAGTCTCTGGGGGACCAGCTCCCCCGCCTCACGAGACACTGCTGGGATCCGTGAGGGCTGCGCACCGTGACGGACTCTTCCGGCAGAGGGGAAGCCCGAGCTTTTGGGGAATTGAGGTTGCACTGGCCTTTCCCGCCAACACCCCCTCCCCAGAAAGGGGGAGAACTACGCCCTAACCTCTCGCCCCGCGCATGCGGCCCAAGGCCCCAGTCCCTCCTCTGCACATGCTCAGTACACTCCCTCGGCCCAGCTGGCTCGCATCCATGGCAACCTGCTAGGCAACCAGGAGTCAGTTGGTCTGAGGCCGTGAACTCCGACTGTTGGAAGGGGCTGAGGCTGAGGTGGAGTTTGAGCCTGTGATAAGTCCCCTTGGGGTTAGAACTGTGGACTTGGGCAGGAGCAGACTCAACAGGGCCGTGGTGGGCTGGGCCAGCGGAGTGGGATCTCGGGCCCTGGGTGGCAGCTGTCGCCTCTGAGCACGTCTACGGAGGCCACAGCCCTGGGCTCTCAGCTCGGTCTAGTCCCGCAGGTGACTGGGTTAGGAGGGAAGTCTGTGGCTTGGGTTAGGGGTCAGTTTGTCCCCAGCACTACGATTTGCAAAGGGGCGTGTGGTCTTACCCCCGAAGTCCCTACAACTGGGGTGGAGATGGGGGAAAAAAAAACTAACCTGTGTTGAGCTACTTAAATATGCTATGCCAGGTGCTTTCCACATCTCATCTCCTGGGCGGTAACTGATGCACCGAGGTGAAGTGAGCACGCAGCCAGCAGGCTGTGAAGGATTTACTACAGCTAAATCCTTCTCTGAAATCCCAGCTCTTGCTCTTTCAACCCCTCCCCTATTTCCTGAGCTGAGCCTCCCCGGGCAGGTGATTCTGGGGACGCCCTGCGCGTCGGTGGGACCGGGTGCGGCCGCAGAGAGGCCGCAAACCGCAGAGCTGAGCCCAGCCCCGGCCAGGCGCCCTCTCCTGGGCTCTGGGCTGCAACTCAGATAATAGTGCCGCTTGTTCTCAGGTGTTTTCTCCCAGGGACATGGACTCCTCCGCAGGGCTTTGGGATGCCTTTGCCCAAATACTGCAGCGTGGCCACAACCCTGAAGGCCCCTGCCTGGGCCGGCACTGCTCCTCCCTGGGAACTGTCCTTTGCCTGCCCTCTCGCCTCCCAAGGACCCTGGCTTACCCGGCAGAGCCCCCTCACCAGGTATCAATCTCGACTTCCTTTTTCCTCTCTGTTCTTTCTTGGCTCTAGATGGTGGGAGAGATGGCCCAGGAGGGAGAGAGCTTGCTTCCTGGGAAGGCTGCAAGGGTTCTTTACCGTGTGGGCTCTGAGTTGCTTGGGGTTTAATATTCCCCTAGTCTAAACTGCACTCCCAGTGACATCAAGGGTTGACCTGGCTTTCATCCCACCTTTTAGCAGATGTGGCAGATGTCAGAGTTGGCATGTGTGAGGGAAGGCAGTCAGGCATCATCAGTTATAAACTTCTAGCTCATTTTACCATCAGCTCTGAGACTTGCCATGGGACTACATGAGAAATTAGGGTTTCTGCTACCAACCGCTAAGGTGAGGTCTCCAGGTCCCTCCTCAACTTCCCTCAGTATCCCTCAGTTATCCTGGCTTTTTGTGAATGGTATCCTTAGTTGGCTGTCTACAGTGTGAATACAAGAGGGGAAAGGAACCTCAGCCTATAAGCACATACAGGTTGTGCAAGTCCCAGGGATTCATGTCCATGCTATTCAAGTCAGTCTGTCCAGGTTAGAGACATGCCAGCCTGAACCCTTTAGCCCCTTTCTTGATTCACCTGGGTGGATCATCTCATTCAAAGCCTGTATCCGGGCTTGCCCACAAAGTAAACAGGTTTTTTCAGAAACCCAAGCCCTGACTCAACAATTCCCTAGAGCTTGGTCCTGTCCACAAAATTTCCCAGAACTAGCTTCTCCTTTTTTCTGTCTCACAGCCTCCCAGTCAGCTCCTCTGTGCTTCCCGTGCTCAAACACCTCCTCCTCTCCCACAGTGCTCAGCCTTCTTGCAATTTTGCTCCTTTGGCATCACCATCCAAGCCTCCATGCCTCATCGTGGAATCCCACACACCGCCTCAGGCTTCCCCTTCCTGGAAGTCTTTCCTGGCCTTCTGTCTGGTCTCAGACCAGCACTCATAACCAGAATATATAAAAGCTAATCCCACCTGGATTACCTTGAAACGATTCCCAGTCCTCAGACGACGGTTCCCTTCACTCTCTTCTCCTTCTGCCCCTCCCAGTAGTTTACCTTATCTTACTGGAAGTCACAGATTGCCACTCTTTACATGGATTTCCGTTCCATATTACCTTATCTGTCATGCACACACCATGGCGCTGCTCAGATCTAACTCTGAAACGTGTTTCTTGATGGTTTTAGGGCTTGGTTTTCTCTACTCCCTAATTCCATTTGCTTTTTCCCAGATATGCATCTTATGACCCGTGTCTCCACATTGCTGACCCAGCATGGCAGGGGCCTGGCTGGCTGAGAAGAGGTGGAGATGCTGCGGACGCATGGGTCCTGGCAAGAAGGGAAGCAGATGGCTTTTATTACAGGGCTCAGATAAAGGCTGCTCCCGAGGCAAGTCCCTAAGTCCCAACATCTCCCCATATGCTGCTCTGGATGGCCCTGTCATACCTGATATGCCTCAGCTGTGTGTGCCCAGCAGTTCAGTTTCTTGGATAAGCACAGATCTCCCATGGTCAGGATGCAGAAGTGAAAATGTAATGTCAGTGAGTGCATTAATTTGCTAGGGCTGGGTAACAAAGTGGCACAAGCTGAGTGGCTTAAACAACAGAAATTGTCTCTCGGTTCTGGGGACTGGAAGTCCAGGTGTTGGCAGGGTTGGTGATTCTGAGGGCTGTGAGGGAGGATCTGTTCCATGCGCCTTTCCTAACTTCTGGTGGTTTGCTGGCAATCCTTGGTGATCCTCGGCTTGTAGAGTCATCCCCCTGATCTTGGCCTTCATATTCACATGCTGTTCTCCCTGGGTGCATGTCCGTGTTCAAATTTCCCCTTTTTGTAAGGACACCAGTCATTGGATTAGGGGCCCACCCTACTCAGCTGTACTCGGTGTGACTTTGTCTTAAGTCGTTACATCTGCGATGACCCTATTCCCAAATAAGGTCACCTTCTGAGGTACTAGGGGCTAGGACATCAACATATGAATTTGGTGGGGTAACTATTCAATCCATAACAGTGAAGAAAATATACAGTAAAAGCACTTTGTTCAGGAAAATTCAGTGTGTCAAATTATGGGCGCCAGCCTAAGGGTAAGAGGAGCAAAATGTGTGTAAAAGCCCGTGTCCCTCCACACAGGAGCACAGTGCCTGCGTGCTGGGGCCAGGCCTGGGCTTTACTTTGGTGGTTACTTGCTTCTTTGGGATTTTTCTCTTCCCACAAAGAGTCAGACTTTGTGAATGTGGATCCATAGAGGGAAAACAAGTGTGATTTCTAAAAATATATATAAATGATAGAATTTCCAATCAAAAGTCATTTTGTCATTTTCAGGTAACTAATATGTAATTTCAAATGAAATATTAACAGGGTTTTGCTCAAATATAGATCCTGTCTAGTGGTTTGATAAAAGTCAATTTGTAAGCTTGTTCTTTTAATTAGCTTAGTATTTCTCCTGCCCTCTCTGCCAGGCTGCTCATTTGCTTCCTTTGCCCAGCCTCCCCTCATGGACGTAATGGCAGTGCAGAGGGCTGCTCCAACAGTCCCAGCCTGTCCTCGCCCGAGAGGGCCTGTGGATGATACCCCATCCCTGGCTGGCCGCGGACACAGGGACAACACTTCCTGGGAGTGCTAGGAGGAAAGGGTGTGCTTGGGGAAAGATCCAGAGGACCCAGGTTACTCCTGTGAATTGCAGGCCAAATATAAAGATAGGAGAAAAACAAAACAGGAGGGCTTCCCTGGTGGCGCAGTGGTTGAGAGTCCGCCTGCTGATGCAGGGGACACGGGTTCGTACCCCAGTCCGGGAAGATCCCTA